ATATATATATGTATATATATATATACATATATATATATAATGTTCTTATATTTCTCTACTATATAGCAAATGCGTATTTGAAGGTCTGATATTCATTATGTTTTTTTCGTTATCACTACCAGTACTGTATTATAATACTATTTTTATTTTATTTCTTTCAGAATCTGAAGAATATGAATTCCACATAGTTTCTCTTGTTAATAAGCAGTGGTATTTTGCGGCTTCAAGTTCAGAGGTTGGACCATTTTGTTGTTTATAATATATGTTTGAATTAAATACAAATTATGATTACACCTTTGCACAGGCTCCTTTTTTTTAACACCACAACAGATGTGGTATTTTTGCCAACACCTTAACCAGTCCCACTTGAGACACCAAAACCAATATTTCATCTGACCCTGCACTACAACCAATGCCACTTTAAACACCAAAACAGACTTCATTCCACAACACTACAAACCTTATACCATAAACAATACTCCACATTTGTGTACTACAGCCAATGCCACTTTAGACACTAAATTAGTACCCCGTTCTTCAACACTGCAACCAATGCATCTTCATACACTATAAGCAATACCTCACCTTTTTGTACCACAACCAAAGCAACTTAAAATACCAGAACCAATGCCTCTTTATTCAAAATTACAGCTAGTGCCACTTAGAAACCATAAACAATATCCCACCTGTTTCTACCACACCGAATACCAGAACCAATACCCAATTCTTCAACCATGCAACCAAAACCACATTAGACACCTGAAACAATGCCCCAATGCCCCATAAGAAAATCCACTCCAACACCAAAACCAATACATAAGTTTTCAACACTGCAACCAGGGCCACGTCAAACACCAGAAACATAATCAAATTCTTCAACAGTACAACCACTGCCACTCCAAACACCAGTACCAATTACATGAGCTTTCAATTGCGTGATGACAGTAGGACGCCACATGAAGTCATCTGCGCGTGCAAGAGCGTTAAAGTTTTGTGGCACAGTACCAATAAATATTATCATCAGTAGATTTTGGCACTTAATGATTCATGATGATTGATTGGTTGATAATTCTGTTTATTATATTATGTATGTATTTTTTTTCCCGACAGGAGCGGGATGAATGGGTACAGGCAATCGAGGCCCAGATCATGATCAGTCTACAAGGCAACATGAGTTCAAAGTGTAAAGATCAAATTGTGACACAGGAGAAGGCAGCAGTAATTCAAGAAATCAGGAAAATACCAGGCAATGGCTTTTGTGCTGATTGTGAAGATGCTAGTAAGAAAAATATTCATTATCCCCCTTTTTTTTTTATATATTTGTTGAGATAAATTATTAATAGTCCTGTCTGAAGAACACTTGAATGATGGTATTGTTTTTAATGATTGCGCCCTCTATAATAATACCACGTAGCTAATAAATATCAACATCATTAAGTTTCTATAAAATTTAAGATTTTTTCTCATGATCAACTGCAAATGTACTTCCAGAAGCATTATGTGTGGATGTTTGTTTTTTTTAATGGATTGCTACTTAAGCTCTATTCACACTATCAAATTTGATGTGACACATTTGTATGATGTACTTGTCACATTTTTTTGTCACATAAAGTTGTATAGTGTGGACAGTGTTTTTATTTGCTATTAGCAATTTTTTGCCCATGTTCTTAAATACTCATACTAATACACTGTTTGTAAAACTTTTAGATCCAGATTGGGCTAGCATCAATTTAGGTGCCCTCATATGCATTGAGTGTTCTGGTATCCATAGGAACTTGGGAACGCATGTGTCAAAGGTCAGATCCTTAGACCTCGATGATTGGCCGTAAGTATTCAATTTAAACCATGCACTGTCCATTACGTAAATTTATAAACCATAGATCGGAAGAGTGCATATTCAAGTTTATTGATTGTTCTATTGAGTAAAATACAAATGTTCTTACATACATATATACTGTAAAGCGCTTTGTTTTTGCTCGCTTTAATTTTCGCGATAAGGTGACAGTTGCGAAAATTAAGAGCGCATGGAAATCAAATAACAATGGTAGTTTTGTCTTCAAACGTAAAGCTACAGCTAGTATACAACTGATATTCCCACGAAACATTTCAAATTGTAAAATTGCGAATATCCAGGGTAAAGGGCTTTACAGTATGTCATTTTGAGTTATAAATGTCATCTTTCAGGGCGGAGCTCCTTTGTGTAATGATGTGTATTGGCAACACCATGGTAAACAACATATGGGAAGTGTCACTGAATAGTCGAACAAAACCAAATTCCAATTCCAACCGAGAAGAGAAGGAGCGTTGGATCAGGTCCAAATATGAACGTAAAGAATATCTTGCTCCCATACCCAACCCAGAAAAACGCATTGGACAGGTTAGTATGAGACTATGCGTTAGGAATGAGCTGTTCATGAACATTTTTATTAAGCAAGATCTTGCTTTCTGATAAATTGTCCGGTTGCAGTTCCAGTTCAGGTTGCATTTGTGTTTATAGTACTTTTTAAGTGATTACATTTATATGGAGCACGTGCATGTGAATGTTACCACACAGCAGGCTGAACTCAAAAGGGATGAAACGCTCCATGGAGCGATTGAAATATGTGCATGCAATTACGGAGACACTGCACAACTGCACTAATGGAATCGCTCTTGTCTAAAACAGTTTTATCAAGTAGAACGCACTGCACTGTACCTAATAAAGTTTTGTAAATTGTAAGAGAAAAATTCATTCATTTATTGTTGCTGTTTGTTAAGGATTTCATTTACATATATTTGTATTAAATATTTGTTACAATTTAGCAACTTTTGGAGGCAGTCACAATAGAAGAGATTCGGTTAGTAATCCTTTTGCTAGCCCAGGCAACGCCCTTGGATGTGAACCACAGGTATGGAGAAGGTGATGGCCGCTCAGCTCTGCACCTCAGCTGTGCTTTGGCTAATGTTGTCCTAACGCAGCTTCTTATATGGGTGAGTAATCTGTCAGACATTCAACTACAAATACAAATTTTTATCTCACTTATTTTTGTTATGCTGCCCTCCTGTGTTTCTATAACTAATCTAGTATATAGGGAATTGCTACATAGCGAAGGTCTTATAATTACAAGATAGCTTTCTCCACGATTTCTGTGTGCAAGTTATTACCTTTCAACTTTGACATCAGAGGTCATTAGATAGCGCATCTGCATGCAAATTCAATAACAACCATGGTGACAATTAGGGCGCCCTCTCTCAAAAGTGATTATTTTTTTGCTTCTTTTTACTGAACATTGTGATGCTTCTATTTGTTACGCGTAGAATCGCGGAGAGCGCTATTTTGTAATTATGAGATCTTTGCTACATTGTAGCTAAGCAGATATGAGCATACTGTAGCATCAGCAATGCAATGTAATGCAATGGTGGGAAATTGGCAGATGCCTGAATTTCATGATGCATTTATCCTGAAAAATGGACCATCCAGTGGTTGATTAAAAAAGAAATAGGTATTGATTCTTTACAGCACAGAATGTTTCAAGATATTGTTATGCAAGATTTTTTATTAGTTAAAAAAAAACGATGACATTCATTAAATCAGACAGCTTTTGCTATCATGGCTTCCAGAATTGCGTCATGGCCTGTTAAAGCTTGCGTAATGCAATTAAGACCATACCGTAATAACTTGAATAGAAACCCTAGCCATCATTTTGGATGGGTTTCTTTTCAAGGTGAGCGTTTTTCAAGGTTACTTTTGCAAAATAAAAAGGGATTCTTTGTTTTTCAAAATACATATAAATTATAAAATCAAGCTTCTGATATAATATAATACCATAAAATAAATAATAGGAATGTATACTTTATTAAACATTTGTAACTTATATTAATTTTGTTAACAATTAGTACTCTTCTAATAAATTTACATAGCCGGAATTAGCTTCAACCTAACCCAGCTAAAAGATACACTTTCTCAGATTGAATGCATGCACGAAATCCTGTTGACCAAACCCTGTACCTTTTGATTATAATTGTGCAGGAATTATTTTAATATTGACACTGACACTATCAGAAGTCAGTCGGAGTGCAAGTACTATCTTGAAAAGAAGAATGTACTATCTTAATTAGAAGCCCATGGGCTGCTTTTTTAGGTTTTACAGAGGAATTTCACCAGTAGCAGCACTTAGCAGTGCTTTGTTAATAATAAAATTGTGAATATGCCAGAAATGTAAGTATGTATAATTCATGACTCTAGGACTACTTTACATGGGTTTCTTTGGTGGGCAGTGGTGGTGGAGGAAACAAATATTTATCAATGTCAGCATTATTAGATCACATGACCTGCAATCTAGGTCAAGAGATACTTCTATTTTATTGATATTCTCTCTAATATGATATAAAATTTTATTTGGTACATTTGTTTTCCATTAGTATAATGCCGACGTTACTGCTGTTGATGCTGATGGTAGAACTGCTCTTGTGTATGCACGAAGCGTCGGTGCAGAAGATTGCGTCAAAGTCTTACTGAATAATGGCTGCCCAGACGACTACCCGAAAGCTGCTAGTAACGGATCTCTACATCACGGCAGTCGTTCCCCAAATAAAAATGTCATTGACAAATTGCCAGCAAGTGTCATTTGAAATGTGTTTCAAATTCGATGACAAAATACAATTCTAGTGTCGCTGTAGAGAAAAAAACCATAAATGATGCGAATTGTGCGAGTATACACTAGAAAATAATAAGCCTAATGTTGACTCTGACATTGTTTATCGATATATGTCAATGGGCCAGCTAGTAATTGCCATACAGTATTTATCAATGTTTACCATAGCTGAGAGTGTTAGGTAAACCAGCAATTACGAGTCAATGTTACGCTGCAGGTGATGAGTACTGTAGCCAGTACTATGTGAGGAATGAATTGTATGGTGTAAAAGAACACTTGAAAGATATTGTGTTCTATAAATTCAACATTCAGAATCATTCTGGGCCGTTTAGTATCGGTTTTTACAATATTCCTATGGATGTATTCATTCATCTCTATTCCAAATCAGTAATCAACAATTTAGAAAATGACGGATGGATAATTTGAGTTTGTGTCTTCAACTAATCAGTGACGTAAGCAGCAAATGATGCAGACTTATAGTTAAACACAACAACTAGAGTGCTCTGGAGGTGTGTTTGGTCTTATACACAACTATAAGCCAAGGATATATACTCAACAAACGTCTGTTGAGTAATAAATTGGTTTTAATGAAAAGAAGGACGAAGTTCGTTCTATTTGGGTTGTAGCGGGGTACATCAAAAAATTGATATAATTAATAATTAATTACAAATTGATATATAATAATCAAAATTTGTCAATGAAAATAATTAATTGATTGATAATGTTAATTACTGTGTGTGACATCATCAATTGTTAAAAATATATGGCTTCCCATTGGTTGAAATATTAAACATTACAGGCTGAAATATATTTCAGACAATATTGATTAG